TTCAATCCCATTGAGCACATGTCGAATGCGTTGCAGAGAAGGTTTTTCGATCACCATCCGCAGCCAGTTGACCTGCAACATTTTATGGAGTGAAATTCCTTCTCAAATTTGTGACATTATTAACATTATGCCGAACAGGGGCACAGAGGTTTTAGCTACCAGAAAACATTACACATGGTATTAATTTTTAAAAAAAATTATTGTTTCCAATACACAAAATTATGGAATCAAAACCTTTTATTTTATTATTTTTCATCATCCTCCAATTAAATTTTGTTTCAGTAAAAACATAATTTCTTATAAATCTTAAATTTGTAATAAAAATAAAATAGAAATGCTAGGGGAAATAAATGCTATAAAATTGACAATATCCCTCTCATTTTTGAGCAGTTTGAAATTAATCTTACACACTGGAGCCAATACACCTATCGATATATCCTAAACTTATCATTGTAATTGATTGAATCAAAAATGAAAAGTCATAAATTATTCAGAGCAGGTTCATCTACTTCATAATTTTTATGTAAAATTGTGACAGATAGGCAGATCGTGAGACTTAAATTTCTGTAGTAAGTCAACATTTATAATCAGACTCATAACAGTATGAGAAACTTTAAAAAATTTAAGTCTTCTCAAAAAAAAAAACTTTCTTTAAAAAAATGGATACTCGCAGGGGAAGGTAGAATAACACACACTCATATACGCACGGGAATGGATTATTATTTCTATAAATATTTTCACTGGTTTATGAATTAAAATTTCTTATGACTATCATTCTTTTTACAATACATTATTATAATTTCAATATATTCCGTCCATCCTATGTCAGAAATGTAACCTCCATCTAGTTATCCAATACCGTGCAGCAGATATCCCCACCGATTTATCCTAAATTTCCCATTATAATTGAACAATTCAAAATAAAAAAATACGAATTATTCGCAGCAACTTGCTTCTTAATTTCTAAATAAATTGTGACAAATATCCTGATACTTTATCATGTAATAAGTAAACGCATATAATCCAATTCCTAATGGTATGAGAAACCTTAGGAAAATTGTAAAAGCCTCTCGGGTAAAAACCTTTTTGTGTTAAAAAATGCACACGCGCGCGAGATTATTGTTCATTTCTTTACGGATTTTCACTGGTTTCTTTATTAATATTTCTTATAGGTCTCATTTCCTCCATGTTCCGTGCGTTGAATCTATAATCAATCGGCATTCTATTCCTGCATGTCAAGCAGACGATCAGATTTATTTCCATAGACCAAATTTTATTTCCTCATCCTTCCTGTTACGTTTTTTTTCGCCTACCATCGGTGTTTTATGTGCGCTATCGCGTATGGAAAGAATCGCCGCGGTTAACCCATAAACCGTGATTTCCCCATCAGTCGAATTGATTCCGCGTATTCCTCCCACGTTATGGGAAACGGGGATTTGTTTGTGATGATTGCGGGCATTATTATAGGAAGAGGGCTAATTAATTTCCTATGGGAAAACATATTAGAAAACAAGTTTGCCCGAGAAACTTGTTTCCACGATAGCATCTTAATTGTAACAGCCGTTGAATAAATATTTAATTAATAAGATCGAATCGTGCAGAAGGACTTTGAGGTATTCAACGCCAGGTGGGATGATTAGGGAGGTTTAAATTTAATAATATGGTCTCATAGTTTCATAAATCCAACACAGGTCTGGACATAGCAAATAGTTATGCTTATTAGCTGCTTAATTATTAAGTGATTTGGATTTGAACTTACCTAAGCTCAAATCTACACATGTGCATACATATACATATGTAGAGTTGAGTCCATAACCTCACGCAGTCCACCGGCTTTCCAGGTTTTGTTATTTGCAGGAAATTACCGGCAGTTCTTGAGAATCACCCTCCCCGGGGGTCAGCCGTCGGTCTTATCAGTTAAGCCACCTACGTTGGACTTCGGGTGCTGTCACTGCTGTGTCAATACAGCAGCCAATGCATGCAGTTTCTAGATCCAAACCAATTCAACTCTCACCCATTCTTAAATACATTTTTTATACCTTAACACGTTCTATAAAAAATTAATCTAATTGGTGGTCGATGTGGTACTCAATTTTTCGCCTTCAGCCCTCTCACAGTACACATTTACGCTAATAAATACATTCACTGACAAATCACTAGGGGTCTCAAAACTATTAGTATTACATATACAATAAAACATCTGTTTTATATAGAGCCAAGGAACTGCACACAAAATTAGAATCCGAAACTGGTGAATAAATGAATGAATAAACTTTATTAAAAAAATACTTATACATTATGTTACATAACATTCATTAAGCAGGGGAAGTGGCGGGGCACTTTTATGTCCTATTTCAAAACTTTTTCCTATCAACGCACCTAGTCCTAGTTTGTTGTTATTTTTAATTAATCAAACAAGAAAATAAAAAAAAATTCTTAAAAAACCCACTAGGTATCAAATAGGATAACAATTAACAAATGAATTAACAAAAATATAAATAAATGAATGAGAATAACAAGAACAATGCAGCACGGGTAATTGAATTATCACAAATTGTTTTATAGTATCACAGCTCTAGAAGAAACAATAAATATATCACAGATCCTAGATTTATGTACTGTGCCTAATCCTTCTATGTTTCCATGGAAAGTTTACATCATAAACTCCTATATCCCTACAAGTAGTGTTCTTGCTGGAGGAGAGACCCATAAAAAAATTCCTGGACAGTCGGTTTAATTCGGAATTAATATACTCCACTCCCGCTCTCTCATGGTGGAGGCCAATTCTGGTGAATCGAGGTAGTGAGGTTATAAACCTTAGAAATTTATTTTGGACCACTTGCAGTTTTTGGATGTTGGATTCGCACGTGTAACTCCATGCTGGACAAGCATACAGCAGCATAGGCTTAATAACTACTTTATAAATAATTAGTTTATTTTCAAAGGTCATTCCACTCTTACGGTCCTTCAGCGAAATAAGACTTTTATAGCTTTTTTACCTTTTGTAATTCATTTATATGCCTAGAGAAGTTAAATTTTCGGTCCAGAGTTAAACCCAAGTACTTTACCCTTTCACACCACTCAATTTTGTGTCCGTGAAACGAAATGGTTTCCCTGAATATTGGCCGTCGTTTTGTGAAAAATATGGCCTCAGGTTTGGGGACTTTAATCCTGAGTTTCCAGCGGTGACAAAACCTGCAAATCCTGGTGATGCTGTCATTTTATCTTTTCACAATTGTCTTAGGCCTCCAGGATGAACAATAGACAGTAATGTCATCCGCATAAAGCGCAATTTTGCAATTTCTCGAGGGGAGTGGATTTATAAAAAGGAAAAACAAGCATGGCCCTAGGATTGAACCTTGGGGAACTCCGGCGGCAATTGGGAAAGGTCTAGAAGTTTCATTGTTTAGGGAAACACGGAAACAACGGTTTTTTAAATAGGCCGTGACAACTTTTATAAGGTCTCCAGGGAAATTCATTTCAATCAGCCTGTATACGTCCTGCCAGACTGAATCAAAGGCCTTCTCCATGTCTAAGAGGACCATCCCAGTGTGTTTTTTGTTTGTTGAACATGTTGGTCACATGATCTAATACGCGAGTGGTACTCGCGCGAAACTGGTCATTCAGACTTCGTTCAAACATTTTTATTTTCAATTTTTCGGCTGATTAAATAAATCAAAATTTCATTGTAAAATAACGGTAGCTTTGTTATGCGCTAAGGCTACAGGGTTAACGAATAGTTTTAAAAAAATATGAAAGGTACTTGTTCAGTGGTTTGGACGGAGGCCATTGACCAGAGGATGTATTTCGAGGACGCTCGATTTCTTCAAAGTATCAAATGTTGAAGGATAATTTATACTCGCGGTTCAGATGACAACGAAAAAACGTTTAAAAGACCGAGCTTTTTTAAATAGAAAATAATATAAACATGGGAGTTCCTTTGTTGAAAAATTCTCCACTATAACATCGCTGCTATAAATCATATTAACCCTGATCTTGATAAAAGGGTTAAAAAGAACCTTTTGATTTGGAAAAAAAATAAAGTTATGAAATTTTTAAGTATATCAACGACTCGGTTGGGGACCGCGGTAGCCGAGTGGTTAGCATGAGAGACTCTCACGCCGCGGTCGTGGGTTCGATTCCCACCGTCGCCTGTGGCCCTTTTTTCACGATAACCCCCCCCCCATTTGAACACACATATAAAAATTGTCACCATGGCTAATATGCATAGTTCATAACGCAAAAAAAAAAAAACCACGACTCGGCTGATAATTATGTCCGTTATGCATAGAAAGCTTGCTCGACCACATGATTTGATTTGATAACTTTTCATAATTTTTCTTTTAATTTTGTAGTCTAGTGTAGATGTAGGTCATGAAATCTTAATTTAATTAGTCTATTTTATCTTAAACTTATCTCAGTGAGGAAGCTTTTAGATTTGGTCAGGCGAAAATGAAAACGCAATGTGGAATGTATTATATGTTTAATTCTCCTCAGAGCAATTATAAATATTATTGTTTCCTACGATGTTTATACAAATTATTAACACTTTTACATTTTAAATATATATAGTCTTTACAATATAATGTACATTTTAATTAAACCAAACTAAAATTGATCCTCTAGTGTCGTTTTTCATTTAAAAAACGGTGAATTTAAATTTTTGTTTTCGTTATATCATTGCTTTAAAAAGAACATTTTTTTTTCTCTTAAATTGTTATAACATAATTTGCATTTTTTTTAACCGTAAACTCCGGTTGAATTTATTGATACACATTGTGGTGCGATCAGACAACAATTAATTCGTTCTGGTTTGTAATTGAACTTTTTTTTTGTATTTTGAGGTAAGGGAAATAATATTCGAAGATAAATGAAAAACTAATAACAAAAGTACATCAGTCTTACAATACTACAAGTATTGTACAAAGAATATTAATATTAAAAAAACAAAAAACTATATGAAATAAAAAATAAATCGGAACTTTCACAAATTTACAAACTAAAATATCACTTTTTAAATTATATACAATTTTGAATAATAAGTTGGGTGTGACCCAAAAAAAAAAAAAAATAGCAATAGACAGTATTATCACACAATCAATTGTCCGCTACCCTTATAGTTTAAGGCAGATGTTTTCTTTAGAAGGCAAGTTTTGTGTTTTTTAAAGATGATATCACAGTTGTGTAGGCTCGGCCGGTAGAGGACGATTCGCCATGGAAGTGGGAAGCTCGACGTAGACGTGATGGAGAGTCGCCGGTATCCCGATGGGGTCCGCGGCCGTCGGGAGGAGATCGGGCCTAGGAGGGAGTTCGGAATAGGTATGGACCTTCCGATCCCTCGGTTCCATGTAGTCGGTTACGAGCGTCGCACTCCTTTTCGTGTATGGTTGGAGTTTGTCCGGAGAAGGGGCTCTGGTACCGATGCTCACCACTTCCTTTTTAGCCCTTACGGACCTTTTTGGCCGAATGACATCGTAAACGTTGTCTTTATCGTTTTCCCTCTCCATCGAGACTGATTCCCTGAGATTTCTGTTGCAGTTCTCCTCGACTTTTATCAGATCGTACAAGTGTTCGATCATGTCCCTTGCCTCGCTGTAGTTCTCCGGGTCGTTCAACTTCTCTTTAAGAGACTGGAGGAGTTCCTGGGTCAGCTCTTCCGGCAGCGTTTGGGTCGCTTTGTCTTCCTGTGGTACTTCGGGTTCTTCCGACGGCGCCTTGCCTTCTTCCATCTTCCTTTGCAGTTCCGCGTATTCGTGGACGGATAGCCTGGAGATCGATGCTGCCGGAGTCACTCCCCCGCTGGAAAACATCCTAGTCAAGCCGGCGACTAACGAATTGGTGGACGGCAAAAGGTACCTTCTGGCTTTAGTACAGTAGCCTTTTCTTCCGATCCATGTCAAAACCGATAATATCATGACGACGAGCATGCCTACGACGGCGATCGCGAAAATCGAACCGATGATTCTCCTTTCGCGCTCCGCTTCTAGGTTGTCTATCATCCCTTTATCGACGGCCGAGATGATGCTCGTCACCTGAGGCGGCACTGCCGCATCATGCTGCACCTCTTCGCAATGGAGGCTCTCGCGGCTCTTGCATATCCCTTCAGTGAAGTTTCGCATGTTCGCGAAGCCCTCTGGGAGTTGCAAGCATCTCGACAACGTCGTATCTATCCAGCACAATCCCGTGTCGTACACTTCCGACAGGACGCCCACCATTATCCCGCCTGCTGAAATCGACATTTCACAGTCGCATTTGAACTGGAAGAAATTGTTCTCGATGTTCACAACGTGCTCGGAGTTGAGAGAAAAATCGAAAGCCGATTCACTGATGTGGAACAGGATGTTTCCCGTGAAGTTGAACTCTGGCGTTTTCAGCGATTCGTCCCCGACTAAAAACGCCTTCGGCCCGTTTGAAGGAGTTATGAACGCTTCCGATTCGACTTTTTTGAACGTATTGTTGCTGATGGTCAAACTGCTCCACTGCTTTAAGACGACTCCTTTACTATGAACCCTGCTGAACATATTGTCTGTTATTGTCGCCGTAGCCAGCGTCACGTTCACAGCGCCAGGATACACCACTCCCATCCTAAAACAACCGGGTTATTTCATATTTCTAAAATATCTAATTTATGCTGAAATTTTTTAATACTAACTTGGAACGTGTGATCACGAGATTGCTGAGACCAGAAAGAAAAGCGCCGGATGAAAATTCGTGTATGCTGACGTTTTTGAACTCCAGGGTCTGTATAAGCGTCTGTCCTGAGAACGCAGCAGATTCTAGTCTATGAAGTGTAGTATTCTCGACGACTACTTTTTCAATGTACAGTGTCGAGAAGGCTTCGGACTTAACTTTTTTTATTTCGCTACCTATAATTCTAACTATGTTCATAGGCGAATGAAACGTCATATAGGCAAGATTCTCCATTTTCACCCTTTCTAGAGTTATCTGAAAGCATAAGATCTGTTAAAGCATTTGTTAAGTAAGAAAACTTGTTAATGACGGTTTGTATACTGACATCAGATCGAACTTCCGAATCGACGTCGAAGATCTGCGGCCTCTCGAACCAGAACGCCTTTTCCAAAAGTTCCAGCTTAAGGACATCAATCGCTGTGAAGTTGACTAGACGTGCGAAAGCCTGTCCTTGGATAATCACTTGTTCCACCCTCGACACCAGGCAAGACATGGGGCCGGCGATATTCTTCCAACTCCTACCTTCGAGTATGAGGCTGGCCGCGTTGCTGAATTCGAACGCGACCAAGGAGCGCGTCGTCATATTGGCGAAGGAATGCTCCCTCACGAACACCTTGGGCACACCGATCACCTTCACGTTCTGAAGGATCGGGTGGTTCGTGAAGACCTCCGTGCCGAACCTCAACTCCCTGCCTCCGGACATTTCGATCGAGACCAAATTCGAGGGGAAGTCGCCTACGTTCATCTCCACCATCTGAAACAAAACAATAATGGTTAATTTTAAAATACTGCATCGTGAAATTTAACAAAATTGATTGTGGTCTATCTCTTGACCTGCCTGCTCTCTTTGGTCTTCTAATTAAAGTTCGTCTCATCACCTTTTGATTTTTTCTAATTTTCTTGAAATTTCAAGAACAGGCAGGCTACTGATAATTAAACAACAGGCCACATACTCTTTGTAGTAAACCGATAAAATAAAATTTCAAGTTTCAAAAGTTTACAGGAATTTTAAGTTTCATGCAGTAACAGCTGGTTTTTCATGTCGTGACATGAAAAACAGGGCCGCTTTTCGCTCCGATTTCCTCTCCGCTTTGACAAAGGGCGAATCGATTCACTTGTCATACACATTCCTCGTCACTGCTAAAGACACTTCGTTTAAATAACGACGAAGCGCCGATCGATCGCCTTACTGTAAAGGATGAACGGGTTAAAGCGTATTTATCCTAGGGCTCGTATTTGCTCGGGTGTCAATTACAAACAGATACGTTCTCGGTAATAAAGAAGAGATATAAAACCAGAAATATATTACTCCTGACGAAGCCTCGAGCATCGCGTGCCACCCCGACATTCTTGCATAATTTCTTAATTCTGTTTTTTTTTTTTTTCGGCGTAAGAAATTTCTCGAAATAAACCGTAATGTAACAAAGGATATTTTCTTTATTACTTCTATAGCATCTTTAATATTAACGTGAAATTAATAAGAACGTGAAATAAATAAAAAAAATAGTCGTAAGAACTCGAAGAACCAGGATAATAAGTACTTAAAATAACAAGTACCGAGTCTGACATAAAATAAACAAATGTTACATGAAAGATCTTGACGTGACAAGTTTTCCAAGGCCAGGACCAGAACATAACTTTAAACTATAAAAAAAGGCCAATGTAAGAAGAACGTGAAATAAATAAAAAAATAGTCGTAAGAACTCGAAGGACCAGGATAATTAATACTTAAAATAACAAGTACCGAGTCTTACATAAATAAACAAATGTTACATGAAAAATCTTAACGTGACAAGTTTTGCAAGGACAGGACCAGAACTTAACTTTAAACGTATAAAAAAATTCAATGTAAGAAGACCGTGAGACTAAAAAAAAAAATTGTCGTAAGAACTCGAAGGACCAGGATAATAAGAACTTAAAATAACATGTATTGGATCGGTCATACTTTAAATGCTATGATAAACAAAAGTTATATGAAAAATTTTAACGTGACAAGTTTTGAAAGGCCAGGCCCAGAACTTACAAATAGCAGGTACTTGATGTGACGTGTTAAATGGCAGGAATAAACAATACTTACATAACATATCTTGACGTAACTTAAAACAAAGATTATGGCCAGGGCAAACAAGATTTATATAGACGATCTTGACATGAAAATTAACAGAGCCAGAGTAAGAATTTAAACTTTAAATTTTGATGACACCTATTCAAAAGGACAATGTAAGAAGAATTTATAACGAAATAAAAAATTGGTCATAAGAACTCGGAGGACCAGGACTTAATAAGTACTTAAAATATACAGTACTGAGTCTGACATACTGATAAACGAAAGTTACATGAAATATCTTGATGTGACATGTTTTAAAAGGCCAGGAATAGAACTCAAAATAGCACATACTGGATCTGACATGGTTTCAATGCTAGGATAAACAAAAGTTATCTATGAAAGATTTGACATGACATGTTTTGAAAGGCCAGGACCAGAACTTAAAATAACAGGGACTGGATCTTACATATTAAATGGCAGGAAAAAACAAAACTTATGTTCACATGACTTAAAATAAACAATTATGACCTGACCAACAAGAAGGGCCAGGGTGAACAAGATTTATATAGAGATTTTGGCGAGAAAATTAACAAAGACAGAGTAAGAATTTAAACTAAAAATTTTGACCAGACCTATTCAAAAGGCCAATGTAAGAAGTACTTATGACAAATAAACGAATCGATCATAAGAAGAAGGACCGAGATAATAAGAACTTAAAATAACATGTACTGCACCTACATGGAGTTACATGAAACGTCTTGACGTGGCAAGTTTTGAAAGGCCAGGACCAGAACTTAAAAAAGCAGGTATTTGATCTGACATGTTAAATGGCAGGAATAAACAAACTTATCTTCACGTGACGTAAAATAATCGATTATGTCCTGACTCTAAGGGCCAAGGTGAACAAGATTTATATAGAAGATCTTGGCGTGAAAATAAACAGAGCCAGAGTAAGAATTAAAACTAAAAATCTTGACCAGACCTATCAAAAGGCCAATGTAAAAAGAAATTCTGACCAAACTTACGACAAAATTGGAATTCGAAGGACCGAGATAATAAGAACTTAAAATAACATGTACTGCACCCTACATGGAGTTATATGAACAGTCTAGACGTGACAAGTTTTGAAAGGCTAGAACCAGAACTTAAAATAGCAGGTACTTGATCTGACATGTTAAATGGCATGAATAAACAAAATTTATATCACATCATATCTTGACATAACTTAACATAAACGATTATGGCCTGACCAACTCTAAAGGCCAGGATGAACAAGATTTATATAGACGATATTGGCGTGAAAATTAACAACGACAGAGGAAGAATTTGAAATAAAAGAAAAGAAAATTGGTCATCAGAAATCGAAGGAGAAAACAAGACGAATTTAAAATAAGCTTACTAGCATGTTATTGCCATGCTTTAATGGCTGGAATAAATAAAATTAATAGAAAGATCTTGACGCGGTGGCAGAATGGTTGGGTGTCCGATTCGTATTTGTCTGTGTTCGAATCCCGTCTTAGCGGATGGTTTTTTAATTCACGTATGAAAAAAATATTTTAAAGTTGTCGGACCCTCGTCCGTGACATCCTACGGGTAGTTGGACGTTATGTCTTCCTGTTAGGCAGCAGTTACTTTTACGAATATTGTGGATGAAGAAAAAGCATAGTGGGTTACTGCCAAGCTTTCGGCCTATTTTAAGGTCATCATCAGAGCAAAACTCTCTTAAAAAGCCTGCAGATTGTTTAAGTTTTTTACAGGCAATCTCAAATTTCCTTAAAGACTCAGTCCTAACATTGCCAAGGACTGTAACAGTATCGCATTTTGCCCCGATGATGACCTTAAAATAGGTCGAAAACTTGGTAGTAACAGCTGAATTTGTTTTTTCTTCAAGGCAATACCTTGATCCAGCGTTAGTGTTTTCAGTAGTCGATACTTCTAATACTGAAAACTTTACTTTTACACATAATAATATTTACTTATTTATTCACAAGATGAATATTAAGAAAAATGTGTGCATTTTTAGATAATCAACGGATCGGTTTAATCTTAAACTTATTTTTTAAATTAAAAAATGTGGGAGGCGTTTTATATAAAGACTTCCGATGTTATTATAATTAAACGTTTTGAAATGTGTGAATGAAGAGGAATTGTTGACATCCTTTTGGCGTAAGGAATGGATTGTTTTCCGCCTCCCTCGAGAAACGGCCGGCTTCCTGAACTAGCCCACTCGACAACCGAGCCGGCGCCTTAATTTTACACGGTTAAGACGCAAAACGCCCTTTTTTTCACCAAGAATGAGACCAAACCTACTTCTATTTGGGAGACCAACCCGTCATCTATCCAAATAGAAAGGGAAATCGTTAATCCGACGGGTAAACGCAGAGTCGCCGGCTTGAATCACCGGTTCAATAAACCTCTAGTCGACCCTCCGCCGCCCGAACCACCTGTAGATCTCCTCGCCCCGGTAAACACGTATTTGTGTTAAATTTGTAACTGTAGAAATTGTCGTCGCGCCGGCCCGAGTAAGTGACCCCTGGTTAAAGCGGAGGGTAATTAATAGATGACGCCCACACAGCATTAGGCGACAATAGAAGCAATTCCAGCAGCCGAGCAGCAAGATAAAAGAGAAGAAACGGGCCAAGTGGGCCGAATGCTAGCTTGATTGTGCCTGAATCCCTATTTAGTCTAACTCTGATTTATATCATCGGCGTAAGGTGATGCGGGTAGTGGCACGAGGAAGGTCTGGGTCGGACTGAGGGCCAAGAAAAGAAGGTCTTAAAAATAAAATGTCTACAGGTTTGACAAGCATGAAACAGTAGAAGTTGACGAAACTTACGCCAAAGTAAAAAGAACTTAAAATGTGTGGTGATTAGTGACCGTTAATTGATATTTATTTAGAAATCGTGAGATGCGGTCTGGTGTGATGTTGGTTTCAGAAAAACATTCTCTTTATCGTGCCAACGTTTCGATCTTTATTGAGATCATCTTCAGGGCCTGGGATTTACAAACAATATGTAAACAATGTTTGTAAATCCCAGGCCCTGAAGATGATCTCAATAAAGATCGAAACGTTGGCACGATAAAGAAAATGTTTTTCTGAAACCTACATCACACCAGACCGCATCTCACGATTTCTAAATAAATATTAAAATAAAATGTTTGGAACTACCAAACATAAACAAAGCATTTCGTTTGATCAATTGTGGCATAACTTAAAGAACCGGGGTAAACAGAACTTTATAATCGAACTCAAAATGTTAAGATAAAAACCAAAAAATACATAAAAGATCTGAACAGAAAAAATTAAAGGACTGGGCAAACAAAATTAAAAACCAACACTCTCAACATGGTGAATTCGGGGGACGAGGGTAAGCAAAACATCAAATAACTTGCTTCGGATTTGCTATGCTTAATCAATAAATAAAAGATAAATAAACGATCTTGTTATGAAATATTTTAAGGGCCAGTATGAGAAGAACTTAAAATAAACATTTTGGCCAGGCGAACTTACAAGTACCAGAGTTAAAGAAATTTAAAATGACAGATTTTGGCCGAAAGTTCCAGGGTATGAAGAAAAAATAAAATTAATCCATATATTTAGCGGTCATAATCGGCCAGATAAATTATTCTTTTTATCTAAGGTTTTGATTGAGATGAAAAAGTTAGTGTCACGAGCGGGATTCGAACGCACAACCTTTGGCTCAATA